CACACACACACACACACACACACACACACACACACACACACACACACACACATACACACACACACACACACACACACACACACACTAACAAAAACAGAAAAAGGAAAAAAAGTGGCAGTGTATATTTCCATATTGTACTGGAAGATTCGGTCCGGTTTCCTCATCCTACACCTTTTCGGACAAATGCTGGGACAAAATTCTCTCTCTCTCTCTCTCTCTCTCTCTCTCTCTCTCTCTCTCTCTCTCTCTTCTCGCGCGCCGCATCACGGGGTCACATGCCAGCGCCCCGCCTGACGCGGCATGGCCGCGGCGCGCCTGTGACTTGTTTCTAATAAAGACAAGACTATTACTTGCCGCTAACAAAAAGAAAACTGAAAAAGAAGGATGCCAGTGTCTCCTCAGTAGTTCATTACTGCATCTCAAAACAAAAAGGGAAAAGAAGCTTTTTTTGTTTCAAAAAAAAAAAAACACTCCCATCCTCCCATCTCTTCTGCTCTTCCTGTGTGAGATATGGACTACCGTCTTCCCCCGAACACAACGCACTCTCATTACGACTGCATCCAACTGGAAAGATGGCTTGTATACATTCATAATTATCAGGGTGCGTTATGTTCCGGGGACAAATGTAGTGAATAGAGATGAAACAACCAAAAGTATACTCACACGAGCCTAGGACTTTCCTGGGCATATATGTAAAATGCAATTACAGCCTTGCCTGGCTCCATCCGACCGCAATTACAACCTCTGTATCTGACTGCAATCAGGTCCAAAGGACAGCGGATCTGAAAAAGTCGTATCAGCATTGTACACACAGGATACCCACACCATACAAAGGGCGTCATTAGACACTCCTCAGGGACGTGAAATCCACAAGGACGCGCTCGTTCCACCTGTCCTTGGGGACGGAATTGAAAAAGAAATGTGAAAACGCCACAAGGAAAATTCCTTGTGGCATCCTTGTGGCCCCAGCCAAAATTTCCTTATCTCCAAGGGACCTTGGAGCTCAAGGAACCGTGATTCATGGAGACTCAGTGGCGAAGACATGAGTCGACGGACAGTTTTGGTTGTTGGGTGGTCCAGATGTGGTCCAGCGGCGTTAGCACGGACATCCTTGCCCTCCAACGTCTGCGTAGTCCCCCAATGTCCCCCAACGTCCCCCAACGGCTACTGTTGGCGGTGGGCCTCCATCAGGTGGCATCGTCATTTTCGATCAGCATCATGCGGTCTCGCGCGCTCGAGGAACGTATGCGTAGTCCCCCAACGCCCCCAAACGGCTACTGTTGGCAGCGGGCCTCCATCAGGTGGCGGCGTCATTTTCGGCCGGCATCAACGGTCGGAAATCTTTTTTTTTCCCGGCAACGCCTTCAGTCCATCCACAGAAGAGGTTTCTTCACAAGCGTCTCATCCCCATGCACGTCGTCACATGCTGCATGTCCGATAGGACTCTTGCCTTCTCCGCCGTCATGTGCTCATTGCTGCCCTCTCCACCGTGCAGTTCATGGCCGACTTGTTCATGGCCGACTTGTACCGCGGGCTCCCTCCGCTGCTCCTCATCGCTGTGCTGCTTCTGGTGGTCCCTCTGCTGCTCCTCGGCGCTGTGCTGCTTCTCGTTGAAGTAGTCATCCATGGCATCGTCGCATTGTCGAAGGTCTTC